TATCTGATACCCTTTAATTAAAAACTCTTATTGAATAAACTTTTTATAATTCTATAATGTTATAAAGATAGAATTATTATAAATAATATGAGTTCTCAATTTAAAAGAGTAAATCTGTTATATATATTTTTGATATTTTAAGTTCTACAAGAAATGATTAGTCTGGATCTAAGAAATATCAAATCGAGATAATCCTGATATATACTCTATTAATAACTAAAATTTATTTAACTTTCTTAACATGGTAGTGGTGTGTAAGGTAGAATTAATTCTTAAAAATAATAATTGCTCTTTGTTTCAATTATTAGTTAGAATTACTAATTAAGAAATATTGAATTAGTTAATAAAATTTAAAATTTTAATGGGAAATTAAATAAGTTTTTGGGTTAATTAAGATGCTCTCTAATGTTTAGTTGCTTTAAACTAGAATATTATATTTAGAAGGCATCCATTTTTGACAGTTAAAATCAATGTAACCAATACTATTGCTACCAGTGTTGATGTATTTATTCTTCAATCAAAATATCAAAATATAGTATTTTAGATAAATCAATATAATAAACATTGAAATATAGATTAATAATTATTCAAATTTGCATAATAAAAATGCTTAATTTGTGCAATCCAATTACAAAAAGTGGTAAGTTTATTAAGAACTATAATTAGATCATTAAATGATCATTTTCAAATTGATAATGTATTAAGTATTGATTACATTATCTTTGAAAATTCCATTCAATTCAATAATAAAAATTTATATATATATATAAGTTTTAAATTTAGAATAAACCTCAAGCATAAATAAATTATTCTTATCTGCTATGTTCAATATCATTATGATATTGTATCTCTAAGAATACAACCAAATATAATATGAACGTAGGTTGTTTCGTCAAAGTATCACTCTTATGATTTAATTTCTAATATTATTAATATAATGATATTGGAGGATTGTCAATATCATTAAATCACAATAGATATATTAATTTTATTTTTTATATTTATTATAAAGACAAGATAAATGATGATGATTAAGATAACTTAACAGGAAAATAAGAAACATATTCATAAAATTGCTTAAAATTAATTCAATTGAAAAACTTGATATATAATGTTTTATTTTTTAAATTAAATTTTGGATTATCCACCTTCATATAAATATTAGTAAAGTTTTTAAATAAGGACATGCATGTGATCTTATATTTTTGAATTTCAAATGAATTCACAACTTTCATTTTATATAAAATTTTCAATGTGAACTTGATTCCATTTTAAATAAATATCATATATAGTTAGTTATGATAATTTCAAATTCTTATTAATTTTTGGTCCTGCTAAATAGTCTAGAATTTGCTTACCAACCTAGCAAGACTGCTAATAATCTCATCATAAATTAAATTTGCTCCTTTCTATGATATTTTGTATCTCTTTGATTAATAAATAAGGCTGCTATGTAGTATAAAATAATTTAATTAAGAATAATAGATGTAGTAGCAAAAAGCAAGAAAATAGAATTTACCGATTCTGAGAATAATTTGTAAATAAATAAATAGCCATATTTCACGAACTAAGAGCAATCATTAAATTTCCTCAAAAATGATTAAATTTATTCATAATCCTAATTTATTTCAACTCAAAAATATATAGAGTATTGAAGAATCTTATTTTGTAATAATAATCTGTTGATTTATCTGAAGTTGTTGTACTAAAATCCTTAGATATGTAACTATCTTATTTATAAACAGTGTTGCTACTTTTTAATTTATAGAATGAACTTCAAGTAAATTTATGGTACTGATAGTAAAAGTCTTTTTATATAAGTTAGAATAGGACTCATAAAGGATTGAAAATACACTACTTGAGTATGATATTTATTAATTCAATTAATAAAGTCAATTAAATTTATTTCAGGAAAAAGAATGGAGTTTTTCAGAAAGGATTCGCAAAAATGGACTTAGATTGAAATTATTACAAAATTTTCAATTTTCAATAACTTTCATAATAAGTGAATTTAACATATAATTACAAAAATTGCCTCATTTAACATTATAACAATACATTAGTTGAACAATTATGTATAATTATTGTAGATTCCCTTATTATATAAAACTGATATAGATGGATTAGTGTGCTAATATGAATTTAATTTAATTCTTATGAAAGCAGTTGGAATTATAAACATTCAATGAGAAGATTAATTTTATTATGAACATATTTTTCAAATTCTTTATATTATTAATATTTTCCAAAAAATTATTAATTTAAAATAATTATTATTTGGATATATCTATATCTCTAAAAGGAAAGTAAATAATGTATAATTTTGATTGTCCTTTAAATTTAATCGATAATGCAATGAATTTTATTATTTTATATTTTTCTTTAAATGTCAATCGATAAAGAAGGATTAGATTTGTATGTATCATCAAAAGAGAATTATTCTAAAAATAAAAAGGCATTTTTGTAAATCAATATATATATGAATAAAGAAATTACATATTTTGATAAAACAATTGAACTAATCTTGATTATTTATTCAACAATTCTTTTGTATATATTTTAAATTTTATATATTTTGATTTATAATTTTCATTCTTCTCTATATTTTCTAATTTAAATTTCTTAAGATTTATCATCCCAAGTAATAAAATACTCTCCATCATCACTCAATTAACCAAATAATGTATTTGTATTAAATTGAATAGATTACTGAACTTTAAATTCATCTTTTTCTGTCTTTCTTATAAAATTGACATATCCACTATGTTTACTAACTAATATCTATTTTTATTTAATAAATTATTATGGAAAGAAGTACCAATTATCTTAACCTTAATTTACAGTAATATCTTTTGTCTTAGTGAACTATTTACTTACACTATTCATCTCATAGATATGCATTAAATTACCATTCCTTGGTTAAAATGTAAATAGATTATTGTTGATAAAGCATAATCTCCATCCGAAACAATCAACATTTATATTTTATATAACAATCCACCTTTTACTTTATTCAGAATATTCAATTACTAATAT